ATCCATTTGACCCGAACGGCTAACCCACAACCCAAAAAGAAAAATAGTTTGATTTCTAGGTTGACATTAAATTTTGTATTACATTTCCATTATTGATAAAATTATATCTTATGTATAATATTTATTTTTGTGATTCTTTGTAATTTTTATTTTTAAAAATTTTATATATTTTACAATGACATCATTTCATTTCTAGGTTTATTTTAATTTTGGCATTCCATTTTCATCATTTATAAAAATACTTCTTACATTTCATACTTATTTTTGTTCAATATAATGAATATACAATTAAGGACATTCCAAATTCTTTTTTTGTATTGTATATTTTATCTATTTTAATTTTATATTATTTAATTATGGCAATATTTATTAATGGATTTGACCCCAAATGTTTGAATTGCTTACCCACCACCGAGAGGGAAGAAAATGGTTTTGTTTTCAAATTATTTTTAAAAATATTTATTTTTATATTATTAAAATTAATGTGATGGATTTAATTAGTAGAATTTAATGATGAGAAAAATATATCTTAAATATAGGATTTAATAAGAGAATATGCCTTAGATATGAGATTTAATGAGAGATAATAGAAAAATGTTTTTACTTCCAATTGGTTTTAAATTTTACATTTCATTCCCATCATTAGTAAAAACATTTCTTATTTATAACTAATGTTTTCAACTTGTAGTTGACCTGGTTGATTAAACCGTTTGAACCGTCACTTAGCCTCAATTCTAGGTTTAGTTCTATTGAAACTCCCCTGTTTGGTTAAAAACCGACTAAATTGGGTGATTCAACCATTGACCTATTTGACCCAGTAACTAAGTTGTAGGTTGTGCACTCAATTATGTGCAAACTTTGGAAGGCGTAACTTTGCACTCTGATGTCCGATTGGGGTTATCTTTTTTTTTTTATTTTATTTTAAGTATCTTTTCTAGATCCATTTGTCCTAAGGGCATTATGCGCCTTGCTTGCTATTTTCGTGAAAAAAATCTATTTTTTAGCCTCAAATTGCAATTTTTAATATTTTTTATAAATAAAAAATTTAAAGTGGAATTAAAAAATAAATAAATGTAACATAATACATATATTGTATGCAATATATGTAAAACATAATTATAAAATATATGTAAAACATAACTATCATATATGTTAAACATAACTATGCTATTTATTGATAAAATAAATATTTTCACACACACACACACGCACACACATAGTGTTGACAGAGCAGTTTGACTCATTTGACCTTAACAGTCGAACTAGTGACCTGTGACCTGAAGGCAAAAGCGGGTTGGCCTCTGGATCAGTTTTTAAAACATTGTTTATCATACTTATTATTGTTTAATATGTCAAGTATATGTTGTTGAAAACATTCCCATTTTTTTTAATTTCTATATTTTTTTCATTTTATATATTTTTTCATTTTATTATTTAATTGTGGCAACATGGATTAGCCCATTTGACCATTTAACTTCTTACCACCACTTAGATGAAAACACTATTTTTTCTAGGTAGATTTTAAAAGTAGAAGTTTTTATGTTATTGAAATTGTTAATTTATTATGTATGTATTTATTTATAGAATTTAATGATGAGAAGAGACAAAGAAACCATAAATATATAATTCAATGAAGGTGAATGCAAATTAATACTTTAAATGTTGGATTTAATGAGAAATAATTGAAGGCATTGAATATCTTAAAATTAACTCTTTTCAACTCATTTAATATCAATAACTAATTATTCTATTTGCCCCTATTTTTTATCAATAAATTTAAATACAAAGAAATAAGTTTTGTCATCACAAAATTACAGAAATATTCTTGAGGCTATTCGTACTTTTTAAAACAGTATAGATTATTTTTAAAAAGTTAACTTATTTTTTGAAATTTTATTAATTTATTTTAAATCCAATATTACCCCCTTCCCCTTCTTCTCAATGCAGTGGCATAACACCTGCACCCCCTTCAGCCTCTTCTTCTTCTCTCTCTCTCTCCATCCATGTTTCCAAGCATCGGTTGCCAATCGGATTAGCTGCGACAAAGACGAAGCTACGTTCTATTACAAGAAACTCCACTGTAGGAAATACATCAAATGTTGCGGGTGTGCTCTTCTTCATTCTGTTTCTAAGGGCGTATCCCTTGTGCATAAGAACCCATCACAACAGAACCTCCTTAAGATTCTTGCTTCCATCATCATTTCTTTTTTAGATTTGAACTCTGTCCCAAATAATCTATATATTTCCTTCCACTTTGCAGGATTCCCAAGTTGAAACTTATGGCTTTTTTCTCGAAGTTCTTCAAGCTGGAGAAAGGTATATCCTGGGATTTCACAACCATTTCCTTTCCTTCGTTTGACTAAGGATTCTGCAACATACCCTTCTGCAAAATCCTTCAAAAGGCAGTAGTTTTCTCTTTACTTTACTTTACTCTGTGGATTTGGGGTCTAGCCTCTACAGTATACCGTTTTCAAAAATCTTTCACAAACCTGCGATTTTTTGTGGTTTTCAAACAACGGAAAGGTAGATTCTGGAATTTCATTTCTGTCTTGATATTTTTCCTGATAATAGCCCGCTCTCCCTTCGTCTCCTCTCCTATGCTAACATATAGGCAAGTGTTCGATGTTGATGGGTATCAACATGGGCTCTTATTATGAGAATGATGAAGGGTGATTTGACCCGACCCAGCAAGGGGGGACATGTGCATACAATCCGCCAACAAAGCAACAACTCAGCAAGGAGAGACTCGTCAGCAGGTCAGGAGCTCGATGATCGGTTACCTTGGTGCAAAGCTACCTCGATATGTATCCACCTTGGAATCAGGTCACCTCGGCGTCCCCACCAGTTCGTGACATAGGAGCCAAAGTGACGCGTTATCGGCCCTAGGCAGCTCCGAACCCCACGGGATCACGCCGCGCAATAGTGGGCCTTATCCTCTCTCCGTTCGGATCGGGTGGTAACGATAAGGATCGTAAATTGGCACAATACCCACAAGATAAAATGGGAACAGACCTCATCCATCACAGCCGAAGATCCCGAAATTGTTCCGTGAGGTTCACGGTAGCAACCCCTCTGGGGCCCAGGTACGCATAGTATCATCTGCACACTAGCACTCTAGCTCGTTTTCAGCTCGCAGTCTACCGCAAGAATACTAACTTAGGCATCGGAGCGACCTCATCAGGTTAGCCACCCCGGGTTCTCTGAGCTCAATGTTTTGCAGAACAACCAGCCCGTCACACAACAAAGCTCCAGGTCATCCTCCAGAAGGGAGCATCCAGTTCGTGCTTCATCAATTGGCGCCGTCTATGGGAACCCGAACAAAAGGTCATCTTAATATCTCAATGGATTCCTCCAACAACACTGGGAAAGGTATCGACATGAACATCGTCGGGGGGGGCAAGATCAGCCATCAACTCTCCCTCAGGGTCCCACATTGTGTGTCGGTCAGTTTACCATCCCTCGCACAGTTTTGGGGTTCCCATCACTGTCTGTACCACATACCACTTCGCAAGTGAGTGCCCTGCTCCCCCGGTTGGTCACCTCTTTTTCAGACCCAACTGTGATTCCCTCTGGGGTCAGGCATCGCAATTCGAACACCTGGTGTAGTGTGTCCAAACCATGCAAACGCAAATGCAACAAATCCAAAAGTTCCAACAGCATTTCCTTTATCAGCAACAATTTCCTCCTCTGCACCCGAACCACCAACCGGTCCTGCATCGTTATGTTGCCCAACGTCAGAACGTCCGCTGATCTCCCCATCATAGTGAAGGGATATCACAGGTACCAGCATTCCCCAGAAACCAAACCCCACCACGAGGTGGGGCGGACAGACAGTGCTCTTCCCCGGTTTCTCAAAGGGGGAACCCGAGCGAGAGGCGTGAAGGCAACCAGCTCGACAGAGCTAACCAACCGCAACACCTGCGACCTGAGAACAATAGGTCACGAAGAGAAGAACATCAATTTGAAGCCTAGGGCGCGGACTCAAGGCAGGTCCCCTCCACACCTCATCATGATCAATGCAGGCTCCTCAACCAAGAGGAGTCAGAAAGAAGGAACCCTGACCCACCTCGCAGTAGTTCCCAGGAGCATGAGAGAACTAGGGTCGAGGCACAGGACCCAACTGAGGTCAGTAGCACTAATGCCGAGCCAGTGAAGAAGCAATAATGACAGCGTCGCAAGACTCGTCGCTCTTCATCCAGGAACAATCCGTCAGCAAAGCCCAGCCAGCAGCCAATCAAGCGGACTAGAGAAAAGGAAGAGGTAAGCTCAGTGGCAATGAAGACCACGTCTGCCCTTTTGAGTAGGCCATCTCTGTCACCCGAGCTACTAGTGGCCCCGATGCCAAAGGACTTCAAGGTCCCTCCTTTGGACAAGTATGATGGATCATTCGACCCCAATGATCATGTAGACGCCTTCCAGTCTCAGATGCACCACATCGGGGCTGATGAAGCCTACATGTGTGTTGCCTTCACCACGTTCAGAGGAGTAGTGTGCACCTGGTATAGAAACCTCGCACCAGGCTCCATCACGAGCTGGGCTCAGTTTGCCAATCTATAACCGACTTACTTTATCACTAGCAAGAAGTGCCCGAAGTCATAAGAGAGCCTTTTGAACATAGTTCAGAGGGAGGGGGAATCTATAAGAAGCTACATCAAGCGCTTCAACGATACATGCCTGCAATTACTAGACCTCGATCTGGCGGTACGTCTCACTGCAACAAAGAAGGGGATTACCCATAGAGAGTTTAAGTGGCACGTGGTGGCGAAAAGCCAAAAAATATTTCTGAGTTCCTCAATCTCGCCGACCAGTTCATTGGCACCGAGGAAGAAATCAATTAGAAAGTTGACAATCTGTCGAGCGAAACGAGGAAGAGAAGCAAGTCCCTGTGTTCGAGAAGTAAGTTTCCCACGCACGGTTATAGGTCGGGTCGGCGTTCCAGGACCCCTCCAGTAGAATGAACCAACTACACCCCCCTGAATGCTAAGCGATGAGAGATCCTTATGGCAATTAAGGACTCCTCCATTGTCAGATGGCCACCCAGGCTAAACGGAGATCCAGCAACAAGGAACTGGAATGTCTACTACCACTTCCATCAGGATCATGGCCATAGTACGGAGAACTGTGGAAATCTCTGTGACGAGATCGGGGAGCTCACCCACCGCGGATATCAAAAGAACTATATCCTGAGAGAAGAAAGAGAGCAAGGAGATCGGCAAGAGCATCAATCAGGAGATCAGAGAAGGAACACCCCCAAGTCTAGCAAGCAGAACGAGCAGCCACCTCGGCAATTACCAGAAGAGAGGCCGCTCCACGAGGTGATCAATATGATCACCAAAGGGTCCATTAGTGTGGGGTGTACTTCGGTAGCCGGAGGGACGTTAGTCCGCGAGTTGGAAAATGAGGGCGAAAACCCGCCAAAGCGACCTCGTCTTGAAGAACCTATTTACTTCACCGAGGACGACGTGCGCGGGATTCAGCATCCACACGATGATGCCCTAGTCATAAAACTCAGAATCAACGACTTCGAGGTGAAGCGCATTCTGGTAGACTCAGGCAGCTCGACGGACATCCTTTTCAAGACTACTTTTGACATGCTACAGTTATAGAGGAGCGGTCTTAACATTGTGCGGTTCGAGCACCCCTTTTTGGTGGTTGTGACTCCATCCCCCTACAACGCAATCGTAGGTCGGCCTGTTACACATGTCTTATGTGCGATAGTGTCTACCTATTACCTAGCCATGAAGTTTCCAATTGACTATGGCGTGGGGGTGGTGCGAGGTGACCAGCTCGAGTCACGCAAATGCTACGTGGCCGCCCTTAAAGGAAAGGTGACGTTGGCGGAAGACGTCGAACTAGAGTAACTAGAGGAGCATGCAGAGGAACGAACTGCCCCGACAGAAGAAATGGTTCACATACTTTTCTCAGAGACCGACCCGCCATCGCTTGGTCTGTGGCCGAGATCCTCGGAATTGACCCTAAAATAATAACTCACAAGCTTAATGTCAACCCTCTAATCAGGCCAGTAAGATAGAAAACACAACCTCGCCCTGGAACGATGGAGGGTAGTCAATGAGAAGGTTGAAAAGCTCCTTGCAGCAGACTTCATCAAGGAAGTCCATTACCCGAGCTGGGTTGCCATCCCGGTGTTGGTGAAGAAGGCCAATGGCAAGTGACGCATGTGCGTCGACTACATCGACCTGAACAGAGCCTACCCAAAAGACTGCTTCCCACTGTGTAAGATTAATCGCCTAGTAGATGCGACCTCGGGGCACGAGTTGCTGAGTTTTATGGATGCCTACTCCGGTTACAACCAGATTAGGATGGACCCTGTTGACCAGGACAAGACCGCATTTGTAACTGAGCTTGGGCTATATTGTTATAAGGTTATGCCCTTTGGATTAAAAAATGCTAGGGCAACATTCTAGTGCCTTGTAAATAAAGTTTTTAAACCATTAATTGGCAATAAAATTGAGTGTTATATTGATGACATGGTCGTGAAGACCCATCTTTCGAGCTCTCTATTAAATGATTTGAATAACATTTTTCAAATTCTAAGGGAGTATAACATGGAGTTGAACCTGAACAAATGTGTCTTCGAAGTCATGTCGGGTAAATTCCTAGGTTACATAGAGAACCGACATGGCATCAAAGCCAATCCGGAAAAAATTAAGGCTATCCTTGATATGAAACCACCTCAGAAAAATAAAGGAAGTCCAGAGACTGACCGACCGAGTAGTAGCCCTGAGCCGGTTCATGTCTAAATCGGCAGGTCAATGCTTGCCCTTTTCTAAGGTAATAAAAAAGAACAAGCACTTCGATTGGACTAAGGGGTGTCTGCTCTCGTTTGACGAGCTGAAAAGATATTTAAGTACCGCACCAGTTCTAACCCAACCTAAGGAAGGTGACGAGTTGAAACTCTATCTCTCCGTGAGCGATGTGGTAGTTAGTTCGGTACTGATCAGAGAAGTAGATCGGGTCCAACGCCATGTCTATTATGTTAGTAAAGTTTTGCAGGATGCCGAAACCAGATACCCCAAGATCGAAAAGTTGGCTTACGCGCTAGTCATAGCAACTCGGAAACTACGCCTGTACTTCCAGGCCCACACCATCGTCGTCCTCACCAACAGACCTCTGAGGCAGATCTTGCTCAAGCCCAAAGTGTCTGGGAGACTGACAAAGTGGTCCATCGAACTAAGCGAATACGACATCCGGTTCGAGCCCCACCCAATGCTCAAAGCCTATGTCTTGGCTGATTTAATCGCAGAATGCACGTTCAGCAATCCAACCTCGGAATTGACTAAGCACGCTATTGCGTTGGAAGCACCATCCAGTGCGGCACCCATCCCTGTCAGGATTGGACCAATGTAGGACCAGGAGCCCTGAATTCTTCACATAGATGGCTCATCCAATCTGTGAGGCAGCGATGCTGGGCTGATGATGTACGGGCCAAGTGAGGTGAAGCTAGAGTATGCTCTCCGGTTCGGATTTGACACGTCAAACAACGAGGTGGAGTACAAGGTGCTGATTGTCGGACTCAACTTAGCAAAGGAGATGGGCGCATAACACCTCATCGTGTGTAGCAACTCACAATTGGTGGTCAACCAGGTTAACGGTGATTACGAGGCTCGTGACCAGACCATGGCAGCATACTTAACCAAGGTCAGAGAATTTCGATTCATGCTTCATTAAGTAGATACTGAGGTCCGAGAATGCTAAGGCCGATGCACTGTCTCGATTGGCCAGTACCAGTGAGAACGCGAAAAGGACAATATACATCGAAGATCTGCCTCGCCCTA